AAAGACTGCCAAATGAAAACATTAGTGTTGTGGTGATCTGGCAGTTCCGCTCGTCGAACAACTGCGCGGTAGTTAAGAGCCGCGAACTCGCCAGATTTCTTGTAAAAACCTCCCTGGAATGTCATCGCACAAGCATTTGGTGTTCGCTCCAAGACACGAACAACTGGCGTTAAACTATGGCCCGTGTTCTCCGACGCAAAACTCTTATCTGGACACGACAAGGTCGTCCAAATCGCCGCCGACGTAGAATGCACATCAAATGGAACGCGTCTCACACAAACCAACGTAGACCGACAGTCTCCTGTCTGCACGTGAGACCAGAGATCTCTATTTGAGTCATGCCCGGCTGTTGCCAGTGAGCCGTCCAGAGACCGAATACCATTTGTTGCAAACACGTTCGGTAATTGCGGTATTGCAGATTCTGCTCGTTTCTTAAGTTGATTCAACACCAGGTCGTCCTCCACTTTTTGCTGCATTGCTGCTATTTGTCTCAGGCTGGAGGCCTCGCCAGCCCGTCGTTTCTCGTGTAGTAGCTCCCACAAACGCTGGATCCAGTCGGCATTGCTTTGTACTCGGTCGTTGAGAAACCGATTAGTGCGTTCTGCTGCTTGTCGGGCACGGGCTTGGCGTTCGGAAAAGCACTGCCACGCTGTCCTCGAGCCTTTTTGTGGCTGCTCTCCGAGACGCAAAGCTGCTAGATGTACCTCCAGCTCAGCGGCGAGTCCCCTCAGCGTTGAGAGCTCCGCTTTCTCGCGGTCTCGCGTCGAGTTTCGGTGGCGTGGCGCGCGCATGAGGGTTGCCTCTGGAGTGGAATTTCAAATGTTCCAGGCAAATTGTTAGTCTTCTGAAAGCCTCAAGTGTGCCCGTAATCATCACATAAAATGTTGGGGCTTTTTGGGACTCTGGAATATCTATTTCGGAGAGCCTGTTGTGATAAAACGGATGCGAATTAGCTAAATCTGACCTAATTTTTAGCCCGGAAACCCTTTTACTTTTCTGGCCCTTCTTTAACCCTATGACTCCCTCATATCCATAGAGGCTATTTTTGACCTGTAACTTTTTAGCCAATCACCAATAGGCGATTGTGTCTGTCGTAGTACAGTTTTTCTTGTTTGCCACGGTACTCGAGGAAGGGGGCTGTTTTTCGCTTTCCGTCCCTTCATTTCTCAAGGCTCAACCTCAAGCGAAGGGAACGAGACGC